CCGTAAAATAACAATGGTAAGTAATTAATATTTAAAAAAAAACACTATAACACTAAAAGACACATTTGATTTCACAAACCAGCATTTCTTCATCGATAATTCATTGATAACACATTGATTACAATTTCAAAACTTTAATCTCTAAAATTATTAAACAATGACAAATTTAACATGGCTTTAACGTAAATATGTTGATAAGTTCCAATTAGCATAAGAAATCACAAAGTTCATTACACTTCAACACACAAATAAATTATACCACTGTCTTATAGGAACCGCAAGAAGAGCTATACGAAATCAAAACAATAATGACATATTTTTTAGATTTTTAAAGTCCAAAATCTCTTTTACACAACTTAGTTAACGCACAAATAACTTAAACCAGCACCACATATTCGTAAAAACTTTCGAAATAAATTTCAAACAGCAAAATTATAATTTCATTCCCTGACAGCGTCCTTTTCGGTCTGATACTAAACAATAAATAAATTCATTCTACGTTCTTGGTATATGAGATTAAAATATCTACCTCCAAAACGGTGGTAATTTAAGAAGATGTTATGATTGCTGCGAAAAAATAACCAACGCGAACACCCTAAATAATAGATACATGTACGGAAAAGATTATAGGGATGACGATAGTCTATACATAAATTCGTGCTAAAACACGATACATTTATATTTTCGATATATCGAAATGTACTGTCTTATTAAAAATTAAAAAACATACTTTTAATTTAAATTAGTCTGATTCGTAAATTACTATATTTGGTTGAATTGAAGTAGTGGAATTACGCATCCAACTTTATGGTTATTAAGCTTATCTGATAATTATGAGTATACCTACTAAGTTATAACTTGTTTTTGAACTTAAAATCGTTTTAAGAGCATACCACTGGGTAAACTCTATTTTTCTTCTAACTGTTTACAATAAGTCATAATAATAACTAAATGTTTTTGCTAGTAGGAAAACAGATCATAATTGTATCATGAAAAATAAAAGAATGGTTTTCCATTAATTTCATAATTTATGTACTAAGAGATAATAATTTCTATATCGTTTCAAAATATTCAATATGGAGCTTTTATTAAGAATATTTCGAAATCGAACTTTCTCGCATTAGGTTTCATATACCCATTTATTACAGAACTTTATTACAATTGCCAATTATATCAATTCAAACGTGCTTTTATATAATAATTGTAAAATCCAATGTCTGATGTCATTTCCAATGTGACTGATATCGGAAAAAAATAGTTGATCAAAATTACGTGCATTAACCCTTAATTATTTTTAATAAAATCGTATATGGTTGATGACTTCATGACTAAAATGAGATAAAACAATAAAAAAACGCGATCTCTGTTGTTTTATAAGTGTGGAAAAAACTATACAATTTTTGAAACGATATACGATGATAGACCTCATAAGGTACCTTTAGACCTCATAAGGTGCTGAACTTTCATGGGATAATGAAATTGAAACTGTGTAAAGTTAATTCAAACGAGAATACAGGAAACTAGATGATAAATTATGACAAAGATTATGAAATTTTATCTACAATAAACCATACAAATTTTTAGATGCGTCTTTTCAACACAATTTAGTTAATGAAGGATGAAATTTATTCTAATAGTCGATTTTACTGTTGCAAGGTTTTTGCAACCCTAATCGTGGCTGCAGTAGTCAGTAGGTATATTGCAGTAGCGCGGGGAATTTATTCGTAAAATAACAAACGATTGTTTTCTTTGGGCGATACGTGCTTTTCTCTGTCTTTTCGTTTTTATACTTTCGACTCAAAATCCAATTCATTCAGAAAACCGTTAACAAGCTTCATACCGAGCTTAAAACACGTCGGGAGAGTACTATTTACAGTAAATTTAATTTATATCATTATTATTGGTGCTGTGCCTCAAGGTTCATGGTGTGAGATACTGAGATTACCATATTTATATCATGCAAACTTTTACTGTACTTCTCTGATCATGTAAGTCTTCTTAGACCATATGCATTTTTTTTTGGTCAAACTTACCTCTCATACTTCGCAATACAGAAGACAAATTTGAGTCAATTTGAACCAGTTTCGTTTTCTTTACAATAATGTATACAGTAAAGAATTTATTGTCTTCATCTTCTGTATGTACCATATATCGAAATACTTTGCAGTAATTTTGTATTGTGCTTATTTTTATTCAACTAATGTTTTTTATTTACCTTATTTTATAAAAAGAGTCGGTGGCACAATATTAACGAGTTAGCTCGATTTACATTGAAATAACAGTAATATGTTACATTACGTCGCGTAAAGCGGAAAGGTACTCGAGCATGTCGCAGAATATATCAATCAAATTAAGCCCGGCTAAGAATCATTTTATTTTCTTTCGAAATATATACGAATGCGCCTCTCGTCTTGAACAAACAAAGTTGCTTTAGTCGTCTTATGTACGATAAATATACCAAGTCATATGTGCAACACACTTGTGGATTAAAATTAAAACGGCCACATTTTTCAAAATTAATTTTGATAATTTTGTGATCTCACTATTTTGAAACGTACATGTATATAGGACAACTTCTGATTAATATTTCTGATATAATACCAGATCAATGTCATTTACATCTCTGTAAAAATCAACTCATGAAAAGTTATATTTAAAAAATGTACTCATGGAAGTTATATTTTGCGTTGTTTGAATAATGTAGCTATTATTTTGTAAAATCCCTTTAAAATTGAAATAACACATTGGACCTTTTTGTCTCAATTTACCCCTTCTATGTGGTAAAAAGACCAGATTACAACAGTTCACAGTTCGTTTGATATGAGGTATTTGTTTGTAATGAAACTCGTTTGGTTTTCACAATATAATTGCTCGAAATCAAAATTGGACCTTTGTGCCCTATCCTACTACATTGAACCTATATGTGATACACGTAATATTTTTACAGGACAAATAAATACAGTGTTTTATGGTAAAATCTAACTTATCGTTTCACTTTTCATTAATGTATAAAATACATATGTGTCGGTACTGATGTTAAGATATAAACAGATTTATCGGAATAATTGGCATTTGGTTTAGAATATTATATATATTGAAAAGAGTATTGTTTTTTATTATTATATACAACTAGCCGACCCGACAGACCTCGTTCTGTCAAAAAAAATTGTAATGTGGCGGTGTTTTGTTCCTATCTTTTTTCTATTCTTTGCTAAAAATTATCCTGAACAGAACCGTCACCCTGGTAATAATTCGGTGTGAATTAAAAACAATTAAATAAAACACTATAAGCATTTAAAATAAGTAAGTAATTCAATTCATTTACATCAATGTTTTTGGCTGCCAATATAGCTCGTTAATTAATAGAAAGATACCTAGACAATATTAGAATACCCTGTGTTCATGGAAAGATATTTCTATGTTTATATAAAAAATATATAAAAAAATTAGATTATCAAAAACTACACAAAAAGTCATGGCATAGATCATTGTTTTTTCTACAAAGTACGTTGCCTACTCGATTAAAAAAGAAAGGGCTGTTTTTAGGGTTTCCCCGGCAATTATTCGATTTTTTCTCGCCGTAAGAACCATCCTTGGACATCAAAGAACATTTTAAAAGAAGAATTGGCCAAATTGGTCCACACGTTTTGAGTTATGCGCTTACCAACACATTTTGCGATCCATTTTTATATATAAGATAAAAAAAATCTAACGACGATGAAATTAATAGAAATTCACTAGGTTTAGGAATTAATACATTTAATATTAGTTTGCTCAATTTTATACAAAATATTATTAAGGTCAACGAACAATTTAAAGTAAAAATTAAATAGTATATATAAAATAAATTTATTAAATTGATTTATAATTGTAGTAAAAACTCAATAATATAATATTTGAATTTGAATACATTTCACAATAATGACATAATTAATTGCCGATGCAAGATAGATGTCAAGTCAAGCATTTTAATAATCATCCAAATATTTTTTTAAAGAGAAACAAGGCTCATTATATAGATAAGCTTCTAGGTTCAATATATACAGCCGCGAGTGTACATATTATACGAGCTTATATAAAGAAGTGTTGCTAAAATACACACTATAAATTATAGAAGGTGTCAGTAATCTGTTTATACTAGGGAAATTCAATTTGCGTTGTTGACACAAAGTTCTCATCCAAAGAAAGTACATTTCTATGTATCCGCCCCCGTCCCGTCGCTCCGTGCAACGTTATCCGACCTATTTGTTCTTATTTCGAATATCCCCGGAATAAATTTCTACCGGAAACAGATAATGGGAAAGGCGTGTCGCGGGCAACAATGCCATTGTCGGCGAGGGAGCCGCCCTCAGAGGCTATTGGATCAAACCGTTCGGTCTCGGCCGAGCTCAATTCCGAGCCAGAGCAAGACGAACGCTGCTTCGAATATCGGAATTTCCATCGCATGCCACTTCGAGAGTCCCTTATTAGCGCGAACGGGACGGAACTAGGCTTTTCGCAGTCTGCGGAGAGAGGGAATATTTTGGTTCACGCCAGCCATCAAGTCAGGCGTGTGGTGCGCGCAGTCGTTGTTGATTTTGGGCAGCAAAAGCATAGAAGCCACCGCTAATTCAGTGCATAACGGGCGCGCGATAGCTAACTACTATTGCAACTCTGATAATATTATACTCTTGCTAGAATTTAAGTCGTGTTAGCATTCAAGTGATTTTATAATATATTGTGTGAATAAGTTATGTGTTTATTATAGACCTTGTGTTATTTAGGACTTTAAAAAAGTGAAAAAAATGCACGCGCTATTCGGTGAACAGAACGCCTACTACAGGCAAACCAGTGCCACGGCTGGATATCCAGTGTCCAGCGCTGGTGTCCCGCATGCGGCTGCAACAACGCCATATGGTTATGAACAGTATTCTCGTTATGGATATGCAGGAACGTCACCTTATGCGCTTAGTGCACATCATCATCATCATCACCATCATCAACAACAATCTTTACATGCAGCTAAAGAAATGGTTAAACCGCCGTATTCATATATTGCTTTGATAGCTATGGCAATTCAGCACGCTTCAGAAAAACGGATAACATTAAACGGTATTTATCAATTTATAATGGAACGATTTCCTTATTACCGAGAGAATAAACAAGGCTGGCAAAATTCGATTAGGCATAATTTAAGTTTGAACGAATGTTTCGTAAAAGTAGCTCGGGATGACAAGAAGCCTGGAAAAGGAAGTTATTGGACGCTTGATCCGGATTCGTATAATATGTTTGACAATGGCTCTTATTTGCGCCGAAGAAGACGCTTCAAGAAAAAAGATGCTGTGAAAGAAAAAGAGGAAGCTTTGAAACGTCAACAACAGTTACAGATGGCGCACGACGCTGTTTCTGTAAAAGGCAGCTTCTACAACAATTAGACGATGTGAAAGTCGATGTTAAACCTAAGTTGAAACGTGAACCAGACTGCGGATCTAATAAATATCCAAGTATTGTAGCAGGCGTAGTGTCAGGAACTCAAGAATTAACTCTAGCAGATCACACTACAGTAATGGACACGAGCGCCGCATTTAGTGTGGACAGCTTAATGGGTGGTGCATATGCAAGAACACCTTCATTAACAAATCTACCAGGCTTGTACCCGTACCATTGTTCACAATATCAAGAAGAACAGCAACAACATCAGCACCAAACACAACAATATGCGACGCGACCTTCGGCATGGTATACGCCGGAAACATCGCCTGAAATGCCTCCCGGATTTCGGGATTTATTTGAAGCTCCGAGCTGTCAAATGGCGCCGCCGCTCCCTACGCCCGGTTCTGTGCAGGGCAGCCCGCCGAGAGTGACGACACCGCCACCCGTGACGACGGCTCATTACCGGCCGCATACCGGGACATATTACCAGCCGGACTGCGCGCAAAAGTACTGACGCCACCAGTAGTACTCGACCGAGTTTCGTGGTACGTACCGTTCTAAGATTCCGTTTCTAGTTTGAGTGGACGATTTCAATATCGCGAACTGAATCTCCTTTGTGAAAGAATATCATTTGTGTTAATAGAGTTCTAAGTGTTACAACTAAGTGTTCTGGTTCTGAAGTACCATAAGCTACATTTTCAATAATGTCATGAGCATACAATAGATAAACGGTTCCGTAATTTTCAATGGGTTAAATATACTAATTCAACCAGAATTTTTATCTTGATTGAGATTTGATTCATTTACTCATGTAAGGTTATTCATCTGAATAATTGCCATGACGGAAATAACCTGATTTCGTAAATACTAATTTTGCAACATCCCAAATATAAAAAAAACAAAATTCCGCAAATTTAATCACTCTTTATATATACGTACTTATTTGTTAACATTTTGCATTTAATAGTAGTAGAAATAATTAACAGACCAATTGTAATAAAAATTATGTTAAAAAACATTATTATAAAATTCTTATTAGCGTAATGTATATATTTCCAGTACATATTCTTGGCAATGTACTATAATGTATTATATTGAAAACATGATCTAAAATATATAATTGTGATAATAATTGATATATGTTAAATAACATAAGCAAGAATTTAGATGCATATATGGCTAAGTTTATCAAGCTTTATACGGCAAAACTTACCGTTAACTATTAGCATACTTATTAAGTGCTAAGGTTAAGGATAATGTTAGTTGTTGCTATAGATATGATAGTATTGCTACCTTAAGGAATGTTATGGATTGAATTTTCTTAGAATCGTCATGTAAATACTTTCTGCTTTAAATCTTTGAACTAGACTATGATTAGCTATTTCATTTAAACAATTACAGATGTTAATCACTTTAAGTTATATTGAAATCTTTATAAATAAAATAATTACCTACATAAAATTTAGACAATATATTCTATAAGCGTGGTAAATGTTATTCAAATTCATGATAAAATTTATTGAGATTGGCAACATAGTTGTGATTTAATAGTTACTCAACCATTTTTTTTCTGTCTTACTTGTTTTATCATTCCTTTCCCTAAAATGTGTATAATTCACATAAGATATAGTGAATACTTTGTATATATAACTGAATGTATTAATCGGAAGATAGAAGTAATGATTATATAAATATATATAAATATAATAGTATAATGTAAAATTATGAATGGAGTGCTAAATTCGAACATACCTATAAATATATTATATGAAAAATGACTGTCTGAATATTTATTAATAAGTAAAATAAATAATATTGAATAGTATGAGATCTTTTTCATTTATACACATATAACAAATATTTTATTTTCAGCTATTTGAGATATATTATGCTAAAGAATAAAGTATGTAACTTTTGACATGTTATTATTAGAAGGAATTTCCTGGACATTAAAATTTTTACATTTAAAAATTAAACTTTTTTTCGTTTTCACTTGTATACGGTTTAAAAATATATTTCTTCTAAACATTTTTGTCAAAATTTTATTGAGAAGACTTATTTCGTTGGTAAAGTTTCATCTTTGAACTTACTTTTTAAAGTTTTGTATAGATATTCAATAGAGTTAATTCAATAGAAATAATAATAAAATGTATGAATATGATCATTATAGTATTTATTATTGCGGTATCTGACTATGTTCAGTAAAAAGGTCCAATGTCTTATTTTTAATTTTAAAATTTTACGAAATAATAGCTACTTTATTCAACCAATGCAAAATATAAATTTCATGGGTACAGTTTTTACAGAGAACACACTGCAAACAACCTTGATCTGGTATTTCGTCAAAAATAATAATAAGCAGAGTTGGAATGGAATGAAATAAAATGTTTGTTTAATATATTCATTATAAAATTGCTTTATCCCAATTTACTTTTTAATTTACTATTTTTTATTATTCACAACTTTGTCAGGATAAAGGCTCAGATGATCCTTTTTGCCCCATTTACATGCAAGCTTTTATAAAGTTTATATAAAAAAACTGTTCAATCTAACTTAAAAATAGCAATACATATTATAAGACATTTAATTAACGTAGACTTAGAAAGTATATTGAGGTCTCGTAAACTAAATAACAGTGCTCACAATCAAATGAACTAACAAAAAAAATTGTTATGAATTTTCAAACATTTCAGTTTATCACCTGATAGAAATCAAAGCGATTCCTGCTTATACTTCTTTTTCCACTACTTTCAAATATAGTTATTAAAAAAATTTTAACTTTACTTGTTCTTAAGATACCCTATTACATCGAAAAATTCTTTTTATTCTCATTTTTAGTCCCGACTATTCTTATCTTCCACACTTATCAGAGATAACAGATATTTCAAACATACATCAATATAGCATTTATCTATTTCTATCCACATTAATATCTCTATAAAATCCATATTAAATCCGCAGGCCACGCCCGTGCGCACTCCCGGGAAATTCAAATCGAAAATTCGCTTCTATCCGAACCACGCCCTGCTACGCTTGAAACAAAAGCCGTGCTGTAAACCACGCATCACCGTAGCGTGGGTCTACGGTCTACGCCGTAGCGGGGGTAGTTGGATGGAGAGCTACGCCGTTAAAAGCTCTCCATTGTAATATGTATTACATTATCTTTGCAAAGACAATATTATTGTTATTTAATGCCTTAAACTGTGTACGAGAGCGCGGACGGCGCAGTTTTTAGACTTCCTAGTATTAAGATCTTCAACGGGTTAACCAGAGTATGGATACATAAAACTAATTGTAAGATGAAAAGCGTATATTAGAAATATTTTGTTTTAATCAATATTTTTTATATTTTAAATGGTTGAATAAATCAAATCTGATAATTGTGATTTACATATCAGTTTTCATAGTATTTTCTATATCTGCGAAAATGGGGACTAAAAGTAATGGCTCTTTAAAATTATATCAAAACTATCTGACTATGTGTAGTAAAACTACCACCTACCACCATCATTGTAAAATGTATATTTTTAGTATTTTTGACCCCATAGGCGGAGTAAATTGAGACGACCAGAGAATAAACAAATCAAATGTACTATTTTAGTTCTAAAGAGATTTTACAAACTAGTAGTTACATATTCAACCAATACAATTTCTTGGGTGCATTTTTTACAGAGATAACACTCTAATTAACCTTGATTTCGTTTTTCCTCGAAAATATACATTAGCAGAGTTGCAATATCTATTTTTTAAATGTATATCTACTAAAATTGTTTTTTCTATTTAATTTTCTATTTTATTTTGCTATTTTTTATTTTTTACACCTGTGCCATGGCAAAGGTTCAGTTGGTCCTTTTTATCTCACTCAGGGGCAAACTTTTATAGAGGTTATATAAAAAACTGTTACATCTAACTCAAAATTAACAATAGGTCTTTAAGAAACGTATACTTAAAAATTATATTAAGGCTTCGTGAACTAAGCAACAGCGCTCATAACCAAAAAAACTAAATATCAATAAAATACTTTTTTTATTGATTTCTAACTGTTTATCTACTGATATCAACGCCATAAGAACCAAGTTGTGGCTGGTTATACACATTTTTTTCTCTACTTTGTTATTAAAAAATTCTTAACTGTACTTGTTTCTGAGATATCGGTGGTAGATCTTTTTACCCGCAGACCTTTTAATCCCCACTTTACCCTGCCTATTTTATACGCGTATTCTTTGTACATTTTGATTAAAATTCATTGAGTAGGCATATATATAACTGATATTGAAAAGAAAAATACTGATGTATACAATTCGGAGCGATCGCCCCGTATCGATGTTTCACGCTTGACGCTTTCAACATGGCCAAAGGCTGACATTTGCCAGCAAACGCGCGAAATATTAACAAACGCATCCGATCAAATACATGCAAAACGAACATAATCGTAAGTTACAAAAAAATTACGCGAATCAGCCAAACATACAACTTTTGACCCACGAATGCATCAGATTAAAATCTTAATCAGTAAATTCTGAATACTTAATAGGTATTTTGGTTCAAATTATTCAAATAGTTTTTGTTTAACCCAAAGGTTTTCTTCTTAAAGTTTTATTCGCTAGGTTAGAAAAATGTATGCATAAATAAAAAGTACCTTTCGTAGGCGTTTTCTCAAAACTCAATTTACAATAAAATTAAAAAAACTCATCATAAATACTCAAATTGATTAATTTTGAAATTAAAAAAAAGGTTCGAAAGATGTCTGTTGAGAATCGTTCAAATTAGTTTATAAACATATATGCAAGTCATTTCTTCGTAAAAATATTGTTACGAATTTCAAATACCCAAAATCTATTCACTTTACGTTCAATTGCCAACGCGTTTTCTTACAGGGTTTATTTACAACAGATTTAAAAAATTTATATTTATAAATCAACGGTAAAGAAAAAATTGATTTATAAGCATTGGTAGTTAACTAAAAATTTTTTGATTACTAATATATCTAACAGCTAGTTTGTTTTGCAAAAATCGATACTGATTGGTCTTTCTGAAAATTACTTAACTTTGTTAAATTCATTCTAAATATATTTAGCAAGAATCGCGATGTTCATATAAGTGTAAACAGAACTTGATTCTTTTTTACGTAATTGAATTTTGAATTATTTAATAAGTTTTGAATAAGCAAATAAGAACAAATACCTAAAAGTTGTAGACGTGCTGCTGCTGCACATGCGTTGAAGAAGCAGTTAATAAGATACAATTACTTCTATATTTAGGACGGATCAATATTGACTTAACACAAATCAGCACCTCTTAACCTCAAAAGATCAAACATTATACGTCGCATTTTCTTGGGAAATGGTTCAATTGCAAGTTTGTGATCGTGCCAATAATTTGCAAACTTGATACTTTTCCTTGGAGCGTTTATATTTCTCTTAAAATGAATATATAAATTTCTAATGTATTTTACCTGAATGTCTCCAAATATCGATATTGTCGAATAGAGCTTAAGTAATAAGTACCAAGAAT